TTTGGTCAAAATAGTAATTTTTAAAGGAAACATTTCAATTTGAGGACCTAAAATATGAGCATAGCAAACACAATGTGAAATCTGTAGTGAAAGCACCTCTCTTGTTCCTGATATTGGTAATTTGCACTGTCTTCCCTTTCTTTCCTGATCAGTCTGGCTAGAGGTTCCTTAACCGTTATCGTCTCAAGAAACCTTTACTTTCATTGATTTTTTTTTTTTTTTTTGGTTGGTTGTGGGGCTTGAACTCTGGGCTTAGGCACTGTCCCTGTACTCTTCAGCTCAAGGCGAGCACTCTACTACTTGAGCCACAGCGCCACTTCTGGTTTTCTAGTGGTTTATTGGAGATGAGTCTTTCCTCCCAGGGCTGGCTTTTTAATTTTTTAATTTTATCAACCTCCTCCCTGATCTTTATCATCTTTCTTCTGAATGCTTTACTTTTTCTAGGGTGTGTGTGTGTGTGTGTGTGTGTGTGTGTGTGTGTTGGTTATCTTTTCCTTCTTTTTTAAAGTAGAAGCTAAAATAATTGATTTGTGACATCTCGTCTTTTCTAACAAATGCTATGGCTCTCTCTACAATTTTTTTTTTTGGGGTCCGGTCATGGGGCCTACACTCTGGGCCTGGGCGCTGTCCCTCAGCTCTTCAGCTCAAGGCTAGCGCTCTACCACTTGAGCCACAGCGCCACTTCCGACTTTTTCCTTTTTGCTTATGTGGTACTGAGGAATCGAACCCAGAGCCTCATGCATGCAAGGCAAGCGCTCTACCACTGAGCCACCTTCCCAGCCCCGGCTCGCTCTACAATTTCTATTCTTAATTCTATTTATAGGAGTCATACACATATGGGTACAGATCACATAAAGATATTTTGTCTTTTTCCTTGTAATGATGAAGGTAAAATCCAGGATACTTAAGTTCATCCTCTTGGTTTTTGCTGATTAATTGCTAACTCCCATCTCCCATGAAAACTGGTAGACACTTGGCACCAGCCAAGTAAGTGCCAAGTCCCTTGAGTTCAAATTAAAAAATGTTCTTTCTGGGCCTTGAAGCCTCTTTACAGGTTTTTGTGTACAATCTGTATCCCTTTAGCTTATAGAATTCCAGGCTTTGCAGCTGTTAAAACACACACACACACACACACACACACACACACACACACACACACACACTCATTAGATATAGACCACTTATTAAAAGAGCAGCAGGGCTGGGAAAGGTGGCTCAGTGGTAGAGCGCTTGCCTTGCATGCTCGAGGCCCTGGGTTCGATTCCTCAGCACCACATAAGCAAAAAGAAAAAAGCCGGAAGTGGCGCTGTGGCTCAAGTGGTAGAGCGCTAGCCTTGAGCTGAAGAGCTGAGGGACAGCGCCCAGGCCAGAGTTCAGGCCCCACGACCGGACCCAAAAAAAAAAAAGAGCAGCAGTAGCTAGTAGTAGAGTTGCAAAAAGCCAAGAGCATGAAGCCCTGAATTCAGTATCACCACAGCCCAGTACCATCATAAAATCAAAACAAAACAAAAGGACTGATTCTTAGGGCCCAGTTCTGGTGCAGGAAAAGAAAAAAAAAAATCTTTCAAAACTCAATACCTATGGAAACAGCCCAGATGCCCTACAATAGATGAGTGGATTAAAAAAAATGTGGTATCTATACGCAATGGAATTTTACACAGCCATTAGAAAGAGTAATATTATGTCATTTGCAGGAAAATGGATGGACCCAGACCAAATCATGTTAAGTGAGGTAAGCCAAGCTCAGAGATAAATGGCACATGGTTTATATATGCAAGCTACATCTAAAATACACCAGAACATGACAAATTATACAGGTCTCTGAGCATTGACATACAGTGAAATCAAAGCAGAATACCCTTAGAGGAGAAACACAAAGGTGCAATGCCTATGTGCCTCGGATCATATGAAGTATTTATCAAAATGAAAAAAAACCTCAATACCTCTGTAGTTCTGAAGATTGTCCATCTGAAAAGAATGTGGCAACCCATTCTGTCTTGAATCTCTCCCAATAGAGCCTAACCATTGCTTTTCCCCATCTCCCAACTTGAGCTTAACTTTATATAAGACTTACTTACTCAATCATCCTGGTTGCAAAACAAAAGAAAACAAAAAACAAATAGCAGGACATAAACAGATGGAGACACTGGCAACGCTGTCTCTGCCACTCACTGCATTTCCTCCCTGTAAGATGGAGATAGTAACATTAGCTATCTCACTAGGAGTAACTTAGTATTTTATATGAATGCCTGGCACATGGCTAACCCCTACTGACTAGTATAATCATGTATCCCTGCCCCCCATAGGAAAACAAAACACCCTCATTAGGCCCATCTGGCAGCATCTCAATGCAGTGTTATAGTATGGATTTCACAACTGGATGACATTAAAGAAAAAAATCAACCGAAACTAGAGCACGTCCTCCACCCTCCCCCCACCAAAAAAAGGTATGAGGCTTTGTCCAGAGCAAAAATCAAGGCTTTCATCTAATTCATACATTGAGGACTCAGTCCCCAAACACGTGTCCTGTATACCAGATGCTAACTGAAAGCACAAGCTGACTCACCTGTGAACAGGTGAACCTCTGATTCACCATAATAAATTAGGATTCCTATGACCCGCTTCCTTAGATTCAACTGGCTGATTACATAATATCTCACAGGACTTGGAGCAACTCCTGTTTATGTTTAATGGTCTGACATGAAGTATATTAAAAAAAAAGGACACAAATAGAGATGCACAAGGTGAGATACATCAGGTTCCAGGAACTTCTGCCTGTGCAAATATCTGAGAGCTCTCTAACCTGATGCTTTGTGGTATTTCATAAGCATGATGGGAGAGCAGTGTCGAAATATGATAAAAAGAGACAAAAAGAGTTTGACTGAATGCAGAAACCCAGCAAAGCCTGTCCAGATTCTTGTTGGCTTCTCAGAGCTGCATTCCTTTCTTCCAGGTATTGGAAGAACCACTTCTGGAATGGGAGTCTTATGATATGCATCACACATAAAAGCTGCTACTTTAGGTGCTAAAGGTGAACCAAATACCCTCCACATGTTAGGCAAGCACTCTTACCCCAAGCTATACTCACAATCCAAAGAAATTTCTTTGGGGGATCTTCAAGCCAGTAAGGAAGGGATAGTTAAGTTTCTACAACATGCCTTGGGGAAAAGCAATCTCTGGTTTCTATGGCTTGCCCTTGGGAATGCAGTTACAAGCCAGGAGCCATGAACTAAAAGCAAAAAGTATAGAATCATAATAATTCCATGTTAGGTACAACATAAGAATATTTTCTGCTGTGAGCATAACTCAGGGTAGAGCATCTCCATAGCAGGTTGGAGGGTTTTTGTAGTACTCTAAGACGGCACATACCAAAATGAATGATTAAAATAAAATGACTAAAAAGCTATCAACGAGTAACAAAATTCTATAACATTTGCCCTGAACCTTGCATTGTAACCCAGTCTGAACTCCCAACCTACAGTGACAAAACAAGAAAAGCCATCACAGTATCCTAGCAGCTATAGTACCTACTGGCTCCCCCTTCAACTCCTGGCCTGTTTCCACAACCCCTCTAGGGGGCAGCAGAGTAGCAAGAACTTTTGCTACAGCAGGCACAGAGGTAGAATACTAGAGAGCAATGTGACCCAGCCAGGTTACAGTTTCCACTCTCCGTTCCCAGTGTGTAAGACATTGACCAAAATATACAAATATCGTATGTCAAAAGTGGTGTGTTGAATGGTCAATAATTTCCAGGCAAGGGTAGCTATGGAGGGAGACAGTGTGAAACAGCATAATGAGAGTATATGAAACATCATAATAACCCACTAAAAACTTTAAAAGGAAGGAGAGCTGGATACCAGTGGCTCATGCTTATAATCCTTGCTACTCAGGAGGCTGAGATCTGAGGATCCTGGTTTGAAGCCAGGAAAATCCATGAGATTCTCATCAATTAATCACAGAAAACAGGAAATAGCACTGTGGCTCAAAGTGGTAGAGCAAGGACTGGGAATGTGGCTGGGAAGCAGAGTGCTAGCATGCATGAAGTCCTGGGTTGAATGTCTCAGTACCATATAAACAGAAAAAGCCCAAAGTGGTGCTGTGGCTCAACTGGCAGAGCGCTAGCTTTGAGCAAAAGAAGCTCAGGGAAGCCGGGTGCTGGTGGCTCACACCTGAAATCCTAACTACTCAGGAGGCTGAGATCTGAGGATCACAGTTCAAAGCCAACCTGGACAGGAAAGTCCGTGAGACTCTTATCTCCAATAAACCACTAGAAAACCAGAAGTGGCGCTGTGGCTCAAGAGGTAGAGCGCTCGCCTTGAGCTGAAGAGCGTAGGGACAGCACCCAAGCCCAGAGTTCAAGCCCCATGACTGACAAAAAAAAAAAAAAAAAAAAGCTCAGCGACAGTGCCAAGGCCCTGAGTTCAAGCTCTTGGACTGGCAAAAAAAAAGAGAAAGAAAAGAAAAGGAAAGAAAAGAAAAGAAAAAGTGATAGAGTGATAGCCTTGAGCGAAAGAGCTCAGGGACACTGCCCAGAAAAAGCTCAGCGACAGTGCCCAGGCCCTGAGTTCAAGCTCTTGGACTGGCAAAAAAAAAAAAAGAAAAGAAAAGAAAAAGTGATAGAGTGATAGCCTTGAGCGAAAGAGCTCAGGGACACTGCCCAGGCCCCAAGTTCAAGTCCTACCACTGAACACCAAAAAAAAAAAAAAGAGGAAGAGGAGGAGAGGCTAAGAAAGAACAACATAGGCAGAGTGGATTTAATCAAAGTACATTAAATACATTATGTAGCAATTATAAATTCCTTTATGCAATTAAATCATTTAACTTTTATTTAAAAAAAGAAAAAGACACTTGGAAGATGTCACCATGCCCTTTCCAAAATTACCTTGCAAAATTTGCTGAATTCTGGCACCCATTTCTGTGTATCTAGAAAAAGTTTGATTAAACTCTTGTGACCTTTTTTAAAACCTAGCATAGTATCCACAAATAAAATCACACAAACATCAGCTAACAACTTCAATTTTTAATAATGGAAACAATTTTGTCATTCCAGAATCAATGTTAGGGGAGAAAAAAAAATCTTCCCTATAAAAATAAAAAATAAACTCATCAAAATTATAAATACTATAACTTTTTACTTGTGCGACTTAAAATGCTCTCCTGACAGACCCCGTCATGTACACCGTCCCTGTGATACCACACTGTGAAGAGAGAACAGTATTACAGCAAAGCTCAGCTCATTTGGCATTAGGATTTGTACAATGATGCCTTGGCCTTCAGGGCTTTGTTTCTTCTTTTACACATTAAAACAGGGACCAGTGCTTAGGAGAGAACCATCAGTCTTCAAAACACCATGAACTGACCAAATCTGAGTACAGAAACATTTTCCAATTGCAACTTGTAGAGCACATGACAGTGCGTGAGGTTCTGGGTAATTACAGATGAAGATGCCCATTTTCAACAATCTACTTCAAGTAAAAAAAAAAAAAAAAAAAAAAATTCACAGATACCCATCAGCTGCTACTTTAGGTTCTAACAGTGTCTTCATCTGAGAAATGAATGCTTCCCAAACTCTAAGTTTACTGGGATGAGTAATTAGAAGAACAGGTGGCTGACAATGGTATACTCGAACCCAAGCCATCAGCTGAATAGTAAAACCAGTACAAAATCATGAAGGCATTCCCTGATAATAAAGGCAGTGTTGGGTGACAGTCACTAAAACCTCATCAATGCACTAGAAAGAAGTCACATGCAAAATTAAACAAGATGTGCCATACATATTTTATAGCTAGTTCTAGCCCCACCCCACCCCCAACTTTCCTTAAAAGCTTGGGAAGATCTGATTGTTTTGGTAGTTTATGGGGCCCAGCACCACCAACACCAGACCCTGTCTCCAACAGCATGGGCATACTCTGATGAGTCTACTGAGCCACCAAGAAGAAACAGATAATGCAATAAAAGGCACAGTTCACGTAAGAGGCAAAGAACTGAAGCACCTTGGAATTTCAAAAGGAATCCATTAGGTGTCACCAATGTGTTAACAATTCCTTGGGAATTTATAAAGAACAACAACAATAACAATAATAACAACAATCTAGACTAAAAGTAGACTGCCTATAAGGCCTCTGAAACCATAGCACATCTTGCCCTGTATCCTCAGATTTGTAAGTAGCTGCAGAAAAGGAGGTGACTGTATCTGTTTTAAGGAAGGCTTGCTTCTATTGCACACACATTTCTTTGGTTGGAAGAACATGCACTTGCATTAAAATAATGTCGGTAACAAATGCCTGAGGTGGCCTCTCTTCCTCCCTTGGGGCTTCCTACTCAGTCAAGTCCATTAGAACTGAGGATGTGGGAGTACTGGGCCTTGAACCAGCATATGAGAACAGACTCCAGATTTAACAGAAAAGGAGAGGAAACAAGAGAGAGAGACAGGGAGAGAAGGGATGGAAAAAGAAAAAGGGAAGACCAGGTAAAAGGTAAGATGGAATAAAACGGAAGAGAATGATTGTCACACAAGTTCGCTCTGAGTCCTGGATTCAATAAATCTCGTAGCTAACAAGGGTGGAAAGAGCTGCCTTTACCCAAACTCCCTTTCAACTTTGAAGGCAACTTTGGGGAAGGGGGGGAGAAATCTATATAACTTGACAGGAGTCATCAAATGGTCAAGCCCTACCTACATGGATGCTATACCCATTAGACCGTCCAGTACAAGAGGGCAGAGTCAAGGATCTAAGGGTGGAGCTACAAGAGCTCATGTCAGGTCTACCTCCACTGAAAGTCTCAGATCCCTATCTGACTCTGCAGTCAACTGCAGAGTTCATGGGTCCTTCCCTCCTTTGGGTTGAGCTCCTAGCTCTTTGGCTGTGACTCCTTATTTCACCTACCAGAAAAATCAAGCAATCCTAAAATGGGTTTAACATCTCAATTCTGAACATTTTTAACTCATTTACAAGCAAATACACTTTCTTCCTCTACCACCAACTTTTAGCCATACCACTTCCATTCATCCTTACCTCCTCATGCCTTCTTCCAAACTTGCTCTTTACTTTCTTTTGTCAAACTCCTAGAAAACCCTCCCCAGCTTTCCTACATTCCTGTGCTTTGCAGTTCACATAAGAGACTCCTCTGATAGTTAGCAAACAGAACAGACAGGTAGTTTCAACATCGGACAAGTATTCTGAGAGATTCCTTGTTAAGCTTTTCAATAGTCATTTGCACACCCTTAACACTTAACATCACCACCACAGAATGAAAATAGCTATAGGAAAATAAGGAAAACTCAACCCAGAGTTCATGCTTCCCTCACTCTAGAATGTTCCTGGTGACTACAGGTTCACAGCTTGTACGCAAGAGGCACACATCGCCATGCTGTAACCAAACAAGCTCGCAGTCCCCAACCAGAGATGCAGAAGTGGATGCTGAGTGGCCAGGTTTTGGGAACTACACCTAGAGAGAAGGGAAGACTCTAGCATCATGGGCAAAGACCCAGCTCTCTGAGGAGAGAGGCACTTGCTGCTCTTTTTTGTACATGTGTCCTGGGCGGAGCCTTCCTTCTGGAGGGAGGCCTGGCGTGTTAACCAGGCTTCCACGCCTCGCCGAGAGCTTCCTCCAGCTTGTGTCTGTACGCTGTGTAGCGTCTCTTTAGGTTCTGCAGCTGCTCGTCCTCTTCCTTGTCTAAGATGCGCAAGAAATTCTGCAGTTCTGGAAGACTGAAGGCTTCCCACTGTAATAAAATTCAAGAGAGAGAATGCCAAGTGTCTTATAGAGTCCAGACAAGAATGCTGACTTCCCCTCACCCCACCTTTGGCTTTGAACTTGAGATCCTCCTGCTTTAGTCTTGGTAGCACTGGGATTGCAGGGATTACAGCACCATGCTCAGCAGTCACCACACCAGGTGGGAATGCTGAGAATAACCACATAGAGGTATGACTGCCCTCAGCCCAACTTTTCATAACATGATGTCACCTTAGCTGAGTTATCACAAGCACTGACTCCTCACCCATATTCCCTCCTCAGCTAAGTCCAAGCGCCCTTTACTCCCCTTCTCCTCTCTATTCTCCAAAGTGGCTCTCAGTAAGGCTGGGAGTCTACCTCCACCAGACCCTTCTCTCATTCCCCACCAAGAAATCTGACCTCCGAACCTTGAGCTCTTAACAGAGTCACCACTAACACTGCCTTCCTTCCCCACCTCCTCCCACAAGCAACTCATCACCTCCCAAACAGTTCTGCAATCCACCTGCTTTCTCTAGGTGTGCCTGAGCCTCAGCCTGTCTATGGTAGGCTTCAGATCATTGGGATAACAGTCACCTTCCACTGCCCCCATATCGTCCACTGAGAGAGAGTCTCAAGACTTTTCTTCCTGGTCTGGTCTGAAAGTATGATCTTTCCAACTTCACCTCCAAACTTGCTAGGATTATAGGGGTGTGCCACTAGTGCCTAGGGTTCTTTTTTGTTCTTTGAGTTTTGGGGGTTTTTTTGGAGACAGGGTACAACTCAAAATCCTGCTGCCTCAGCCTCCAAAGTACTGAGATTACTGGTGTGCACCATCATACCCAGCCATGACCAAGATTTTTAAATGACTATAATTAAACACTTACTATTTACCTTCTGTACACCTTACCTATATTGCAGCTATGTACTTACTGCCTGGGGCTGCCCTTAAAAGCGCTGGGTTCTGTTTCCCTAACACTATCTAGAATTTAGCAGATACTCTATTGAACTAAAGCAGAGAATGTCAAGAAAAATATTTAGCATCATCTGGGATGTTGTTTTTCAAACATGTCTTCCCCTCTCAAAAAGGACTTGGTGGCATCCTGGCTGAGAAATCACTGCCAAGGCCACGACTCCAGACAACCCACTATAAAAGCAGAGCAAAAAGGATGAAGACCACCACCAAATGGGCCACTGCTGGAAAAGGTCCTGGAGGCGAGTGGAAACTGGAATCAAAGAAAACGAGAAATACAGAGGAGTAATGCAGAACTTCCTCCAATATTCTGCCAATTAAAACATTTTCCCATAGGATAAGATCTTCCAAATAAAGACATTGTAAAATAGCTTCTCCCTCCCTCACCTAGGTACTGTGGGAAGTCTGTCACCTCTGTTCAATTTCCATAAATTTAAGTATTCAAGAACACCATACACCTTTCTCCGCCCATACCCTAGATAAGGTCTAGCCCAGGCCCAGACGCTGTCTTTTCTAGCTCCTTTCTAGCTCTTTCTCTCTTTTCTAGCTCTTTTCTCTCTCTTTCCCAGCTCTCTCTCTTTCCCCGGCCTTTCCCCACCGCGTGGAGGACCAAGATGGCCTGGTGCCAGCTGGAATGATGAATAAACCTACCCCTTACCTGAATACCAAAAAAAAAAAAAAAAAGAACACCATACAGTCTAATATAGCAGATGCCAAATTCAAGGCATAATTCCCCATAATTTTGCTCTAGAAGTACTCAACTATGTGAAATATTAAAACTCTAATATTAAAAGAAAATAAAACGTTAGCCAGGTGCTGGTGGCTCATGGCTCATACCTATAACTCTAGCTACTCAGAAGGCTAACATCTGAGGATCCTGGTTCAAAGCCAACTGGGCAGAAGAGGATTCATCTGTCTCTCCAATAATCTATCTTCTCTCCCTCTCTTCCCCCAAAAAAGCCAGAAGTGGAACTGTAGCTTAAGTGGTAGAGAGCTAACCTTGAGCATGACCCGAAGAAGCTCAGAGACAGGGCAAGCCTCAGGATAGACATCATAAACAAACAAAATATTGAAGCTGCCATGCTAATGCGTCTAGCTAGGCACCTAGCTTTGTCCCAAAATGAGAACTTGAATTTCTTTAAAGCATCACAATACCAGATTTAAAAAAAAAAAAAAACTCGCTAAAATTACTATCCTCCTAAAAAAATGCCCTGAATCAATTTTAACTTGCACTTAAATTTAAACACACTATTTACCTTGTCTAGATACACTATAATTTGTGACTCAAAACTGCCTTTTATTTTTTTTTATTTTTATTTTTTGGGTCTGGTTGTGAGGCCTGAACTCTGGACCTGGGCGCTGTCCCTCAGCTCTTCAGCTCAAGGCTAGCGCTCTACCACTTGAGCCACAGCGCCACTTCCGGCTTTTTTCTTTTTGCTTATGTGGTACTGAGGAATCGAACCCAGGGCCTCAGGCATGCAAGGCAAGCGCTCTACCACTGAGCCACCTTCCCAGCCCTCAAAACTGCCTTTTAAAGTATTTAGTTCCACTTTACACATGACTAGAGGACTCACCTAAGGCTTGGCTCTACTTCTAATGAACAATACGAAGCACAGTCCTGGTCCCCTAACTTTTAACCAAGAAACTCAAGCTCACTGCACCAGAAAATGTCCTAAAGCAACATTTCTAAGACAGATGCAGAACTTAAAAGGTTTGCTCAAGTGTCCTTTCAAGTTGACACTGGATCTAGAAGACAGTCCAGTGTGCTTTTACCTTCAAATGAGCTGGCCTACCTGTAATCCTCCCTAGAGGGAACATAGCACAAGATGCAGCTGTAAACATAACTTTCTCATCATTTGGCAAAGGGGTGGGGGGTGGGGGTGAAGTACCAGAAAGTTCTCTGTCTTTCATGGTAAAGAGATCAGGTTTCCTTTTACTTCCCTTTAGAAGGAAATTAGCCTGGAGACTGTTCTTAGCTACAGACATATGGAGAGTGTCAATTTTCAAAGCCACTGGATGAGAGTAATTTGGAGGTAAAGAAGGGGGTGAAAATGACTGTCTGTAAAAAAAAATAATTTTCTAAAGTAAGAATTTTATTTCCATCTACCTCTGGAAAGCACAGAGCACTCCAATGTTGTAAGAGAATTATACTGCAGACTAACCTTAGTTTCCTTTCTGACAATTCAGATCTCTCTCCCCTCTCCCTTCCTTCTGCCTCCCCCTCCTCTTCCCTCCTCCCTGCTCATCCCTAGACTAGAGCAATAAAACAGAGCCAGCTGTTCCGTATGGTTCAAAGCCATGATGAACAATTGCTTACCTCTCCAATTTCATGTTCTCGAAGAACAAAACTAAGTGTGTCTGTTCTGGGTCCTGCCACCAGACGCAGGTAGAGAGGGTGCTCCCGGTCTGAGAGTTTACAGGCGTAGACTGGGTAAGGAAACAAGCACACGTGTTACAGAGAGCAGAAGCATTTCAGACTTCTCCTCCAGATCACAGCAACAGCCCACAGTTCCCCAACCTTCAAGCCCCCAGCCTCATCTCTGTGCCAAGACACCTGGCCCCCCACAAGGCAGACAATGGCTACACCATTCCATCCAACTTGCCCAAAAGAATCAGGGTCTTGCTTCCCTCCCAGAAATGAAAACAAAGATTTTTTTTTTGCTGTTTTTGTTTTCTGTCCTTTTTGTTCTGTCTGTTCTTTTATATATCTTTGGGAGGGTAAGGGGAAGCACAGAAATGGAGGGACAAAGGGCAAACAAATGCACCAATGGTTCTCACTGGACACTATGTTGAAAATAAATTATACAACTTGTGGGTGATGGGGCTGGGAAGGTGGCTCAGTGGTAGAGCGCTTGCCTTGCATGCTCAAGGCCCTGCGTTCGATTCCTTAGCACCACATAAGCAAAAAGAAAAAAGCCGGAAGTGGCTCTGTGGCTCAAGTGGTAGAGTGCTAGCCTTGAGCTGAAGAGCTGAGGGACAGCGCCCAGGCCCAGAGTTCAGGCCCCACGACCGGCCCCCCCCCGCCCTCCCCCCCCCAAAAAAAAACAACTTGTGGGTGAGAGTGGGTGGGAGGAAAAAAAGAGGAAAGAGTGTGGGAAGGGGTAAACTAAAGCTACATAGGCCACGATCATATACATATATATACATATAAATATATACACACATATATACACATATATATATATAACTATAACCCCTCTGTATATTACCTATATTATAATAACAATTTTAAAAATTTATGCTTACAATAATTCTTTCTTTCTTTCTTTCTTTCTTTCTTTCTTTCTTTCTTTCTATCTCTCTATCTCTCTCTCATTCATTCATTCATGCAAAACTGGGGCCTTATCTTGCTAGACAAGCCCTCAACCACTTGAGCCACATTCCCAGCCTTATAATTCTGTTCCTTTTAGAAAGTAATATAAGAAACTCTAGCTCTCTGCTCTTTTCTAGCTCTTTCTCAGCTCTTTCCTTCTCTTCTCTTTCCCAGCTCTCTTCTCTTTCTTAGCTTGTTCTTTCCTACCTCTTTCCCAGATGCTCTCTTTTCTAGTTCTTTTCTCTCTTTTCTAGCTCTTTTCTCTCTTTTTCCCAGGCCTTTCCCTACCACGTGGAGGACCAAGATGGCCTGGTGCCAGCCGGAAGGATGAATAAACCTACTCCTTACCTGAAAAAAAAAAAAGAAAGAAACTCTAAAAGGGGCTGGGAAGGTGGCTCAGTGGTAGAGCGCTTGCCTTGCATGCCTGAGGCCCTGGGTTCATTCCTCAGCACCACATAAGCAAAAAGAAAAAAGCCGGAAGTGGCGCTGTGGCTCAAGTGGTAGAGCACTAGCCTTGAGCTGAAGAGCTGAGGGACAGTGCCCAGGTCCAGAGTTCAGGCCTACGACCGGGACCCCCCCCCCCCCAAAAAAAAAAAAAAAAAGAAAGTGCTTTCAAAGCTGTAAGAGCAAAAACTCACTGCAGATTAAATAAACATTGGTAGTCACTAAGCAATCAGAATACAAACTCTGAAGTCTGATGGCTTTAAGCACAGTTCTATGTTACCTCAGACACACACAGAGCTGGTATGCTTGTAGTACTGAGTGATTTGCTAGTCAAGAGGGTAATGTTTCATCAGGATGGTATCACTTTCAGATCGCATGGCTCAAGTCCAGGTGACTGGCAAAGGCAATGGGCAAGATAAAAACGCCACCTGAGCTTCTCTGTATTACTCTGGTACTTCCAGATACAGCTGCATTGTAGGTTACATTTCCTGTGACACATGCCTTCACTCCCGGCAGCTCCGCCTGTGGTCTCTGGAGGACCGGAACCCTGACATGGGTATCTCTGTATTTACTCTGCAGGACCTCCCTCATGCTGCCTGTGCTCAGCAAATGTATGTGCAACTCAGCAGCAAGATCCATTTCATCGTGGGAAACTGACAGACATTACTGTCGGGGCCTAGGTAGCTTTAGTTTACCCAGCAAAACCAGAGAAAGCTTAAATGGTTTACTGCACACAGGTACCATTTCTAAATTAGCATAGAGAATCATGAAGTGGCTGTTGTCTACAAACAGGCATCAATGTCTACTCAACTGTCTGAACTAGAACATTCTATTCCATTTTACTCAGTAATTGAATATTATTTTTATTCATCAAAGATCAGCATGCAGTTCAGACACCCAGGATCTCATTTAAAATGGCATTCACTCTGGGCCTGGGACTGTGCCTCAGCTCTTCAGTTCAAGGCTAGCGCTCTATCACTTGAGCCACAGCGCCACTTCCAGTTTTCTGGTGGTTTTATTGGAGATAAGAGTCTCATGGACTTTCTTGCCCAGGCTGGCTTTGAACTGTGATTCTCAGATCTCAGCTTCCTGAGAAGCTAGGATTACACGCATGAGCCACTGATGTCCGGCTCACCTGGTTTTAAGTGGTCCTAAAGCTGCAAAGTGCTGTAACACATGTGTACCTCCCCATCCTCAGGTCCACCAGGTGACTGTGTGTGCAGATGAACAGCAAACATGGGCTGTGCTACTGAGAATTTGAAACATGCAAATATCTTTTTGTTCCTAAAGGGCATCAGCATCAAAGTCAAACCCATCAAAGCTGCCTTTCTGGTCAGTTTGCTGGTAGCTCACACCTGTAATCATAGCTACTCAGGAGGCTGAGATCTGAGGACTGCATTTCAAAGACTGCCTAGGCAGGAAAGTCCCCAAGACTCTAATCTTCAATTAACTAGCAAAAAGCTGAACGTGAGCTGTAGCTCAAGTAGCCTTGATCAAAAATTTAGCTCACGGACAGTGTGTAGGCCCTGGGTTCAAGCCACAGGACCAGCACCAAAAATAAAACATAACAAAAATAAAATTGCCCTTTCTGCATATCTCAACATCCTCCAGAAATGTCTGCTACATGGGTGTCTTTATACAACCTCAGACCCACAACTCCTTATCTCAAAACATGTGAACAGCCAGACAATCGCAAGTGATCACCACCCTTTCCAGAATCTGCCCCAGGACTCTGACATCATCTGACAGAGATACAGGTATCAGTCATCCTTCTGTGCATTAGGACCAGAGACACAGACCACTTTAAGCTCCCAGCATACCTTGGTCTTCCTTGTGGCAGCGCTTATAAAGTGCAAATTTGGCTGGGCTCTCTGTCACAAGAAACTTTTTGAGCAAGGCCTCGATCACTTCTCCCACGGTGTTTGTGCTGCTGATATGAAGTGTGTTCATGCAGCCGTTGCTACTAGGAGCGAGTTTCCCAGGGCTGGGAGAAGCCTGTGAAGGTTTGCAGAGTTCCATCTGCACTTTAATGAAGCCAGTGTAAATCCCATTTGAATTCTGAAGAGGGAAGAAAAGCCACATTTAGTTGGTAGCCAATGTATGGAGAAGGAGCAGAACAAACTACCAAAGCCCACAGGAAGCTGACCTATATTTCCTCTTACTCTTTTTCTCCTAGATCTTTGTAGCAGAACTTCACCCCAAGGGAAGGACCTGAGAAGGAGGTTAACATATGGAAGCACTCCCTCAGGGCAGGTCTGCAGCACAGATGTGGCACACGAGCCTTAGCTTCTGAAGGAAGCTTCAAGTGAAAGGTCAGAGCCCACGATAGCAGCGTGGTGCAGCGGACCTTAGCAAAACCATTACCATCTGAAAGCTTGGGGGATAGATCCGGGCTCAATGCTCAAAGACAACTTTCTGAACCCTGAGGAATAATCAAAAAAAGTAGAAAGTTACAATTAGAGCTTTGAAATACCCAAGTTAACAATGACAGAAATGAAATCAGCCGGTTTGATTCCTTGTGACCATTAGGACATGCTCTAGATCATTGGTTCTACTTAAACTTTATTAAATACAGCATACTGATCATACTAACACAGGAGTCATTTAAGGTGCCTCAAGCAGTGGTGTTTGTGTGTGTGTGTGTGTGTGTGTGTGTGTGTGTGTGTGTGTGTGTGTGTGTGTCTCTGTCTGTGTGTGTGTGTGTGTGTCTGTGTGTGTGTTAGTACTAGGGGTTGAACTCAGGACCTCCAGCTCTCCCTTAACTTTTCCATTCAAGACTAGCATTCTATCACTTAAGCCACATCCTCACTTCCAGTTTTTCCTCTTCTCCCCATTCTCCCCACTGCTGCTGGTTAACTGGAGATAAGAGTGTCACAGATTTTCTGCCTAGGTTGGCTTCCATCTGCAATTCTCATATCTTAGTCTCCCAAGCAACTAGGATTATAGTGTGAGCCACTGGTGCCCAGCTTCTACAGTATTTAAAAAAAAAAAATTCAACCTATTCTCTGTGTTCTAAAGCACATACCTACTACTTCTTCATTGCAGAAACAGTATCATGGTCTTGTTGTTACTTTATTTAGAAAAAGTAACTTATTGTCATGGATGTTTTGGGGTTGTTTTAGCAGTACTGGGGTTTGAACTCAAGGACTTGGCATTTGTTAGGCAAGTGGTCTACCTTTTGAAGGCCACATACCCAGCCTTCTGGCTATGGCTATTTTATTAAGATACCATCTCATTTTTGCTTCGGGTGGACTGGATCTCCATCATGCTAACTAAGTATGCTTCCTATAGTAGTTAGGAGGACAGGTTCATACCATAGCTTTTTCTGTTGAGATGAGGTGTTGTGAATTTTTGCCTGGGCTAGTCTGAAACTGTAATCCTCCTGATCTCCATCTCCCAAGTAACCTGGATTAGAGAGTGAGCGCTGCACCCTGCTGTCATATTTTATTAAAGCCAATAATAGGTATTATGTATAAATACCACAGTTCGAATAGAACACGTAAAAACTTCCTTTACAAAGGTCCATTTTTTTTCTTGCTTTCCACAAGATCAATTTACAACACTATTTCCTTGTTCATTTTTGCAAAAGAAGTAAAGCATGAAACATGTTTTCTTGATGTTTGAAACAATATAGAAACTTGCATCAGTTTTAATCTCCATGGGAAAAGAAATTTAAAAAACTGCAGCAAGTCAAATTTTTCTCCTTTGATCAAAAATGTACTTTTAAAGAGAAATCTGGTTGGGTGCACAGGGAACCAGTATATCCAGATACCAGAGAGGCAGAGATCTGGGAGGATGGCAAAAAGAAATTCAGCAGACTCCAAGCCTCAGTTGATAGCTGGGTACAGCGGGACCTACTTGTCATCCCTAAGGGAGCACAAGCAGGAGCATCAAAGCCTAGCATAAATCAAGATCCTCTGTCTTGAAAATAACCAATGTATGAAGGGGATTAGAAGGAAGCGCAGTTCAATGGTAGAGTGTCTACTTAAGCAAGTACAAGGTTCTGAGTTCAATCCCCAGTACAGGAAGGAAGGAAGGAAGGAAGGAGGGAGGGAGGGAGGGAGGGAGGGAGGGAGGGAATAGGGAAAGAAGGAAAGAGGGAGGAAAAAGAAACCTCACTTTAGAATAATACTCTTGTGATTATCTGCCATTCCCCCTGGGGCAAAGTGCCACTAGAGAGAGAGCTCCTTTATCATAAGGGTTTATATTTAAAAGCTCTTCCCCAAGGCTTGCCAAATTTGAGGCTGTTTCACATAGATTGCCCTGCTATCAGTTCACAGACAATATTATCTCCACAGGTTAAAAAAGCAGGGGTCGACAATTTGCTCCAGGGAAGTTAGAATGAACTTGTGACTTTGAAATTATGTAATCATTTAATCACAATCAAAAAAAAAAAAAAAAAAGAACCTCGGGGAAGGGAGGGAGGGAGGGGATGGTAGGGGGAAAACAATGGAGGGGGTAACAATGTTCAAGAGGAAGTGTACTCATAACCTCACTCATGTAACTGTGACCCTCTGTATAGTAGCTTTACAATAAAAAAAAAAAAAAAAAAAGAAAAAAAAAAAAAAAAAGCAGGGGTCCCACAACCCTGGAATGTAGCACCAAGGGATGTCAGGAACAGAATGGAAGATATGGGCATGCTTTCCATGTGACGCTTCACGAGTAGGCAGAGATGCTTGTCACTTCCTCAGGATATAAGCTTTGCTGTGAGCGCTCATTTCATTTTTGCCTGCTGCCTCCCACACCCACACCCCATTCCCCACTGTGTGGCCAACAGTGTGAGACAATGTGGTACCACCTGTAACACCACCCAGCAGGAAGCTGAACACTGCACTCTTCAATCATACACTAACAACCCAGTGTGTGTGCAGGAATCTTAATTAGATTTCAATCCATGGCCAGAAAAATCTTTGTAACACTTCCATATATATTTCACACAAAATAGAAGTCATTTGAGGTCTTAGAATCTGAGTTACCATCTACCTGTTATACAAGAATAAAAATTCTTCAGGGGGAGGGAAGTCATAAATCTTTTCATATGTAATTTTAAAATGTTTTACTTTTTCTACCCTTTTGTGGTAATGGTATTTGGACTCAGGGCCTTACGCTTCCTAGGAAGCATAGAATCACACATCCCAACCCCTTTTCCTTTAGGTAGGGTCTCAATGGTGCCTGGTGCAAATCTTGGATCATGATCCTCCTACCTATACTTCTGCTCTACCTTGCTGGGATTATAGGCATGTACCACCATACACAGCCTATTTGTTAAGGGGCGTCTCCCATAACATTTTAGGCCCCAACTGGTCTGGATCCAAGATTCTCCTATTTCCATCTCTTTTGAAGCAGGAATTACCACAACTGGCACATTTTACTTTTTACAATTAACCTCTGCTTATTTCTTACAAAGCTACTTCAAAATAGGACTTAACTTGAAAGGTATTGAAATAATCGATTTTCCTGGTCTGAATATCTTGATCACTGAACAAACTTCTGCAAATGTGATTCAGATACTTTTAAATGTGATTCAGATACTTTAAACTTTCCTATTAATTTATCTTTATCTTTTTTGTGTGTGTGTGGCCAGTCCTGGGTCTTGAACTCAGAGCCTGGGCACTGTCCCAGAGCTTCTCTTGCTCAAGGCATTCTATCAGTTGAGCCACAGCATCACTTTCAGCTTTTTCCTCTTTATGTAATACTGAGGAATCGAACCCAGGGCTTAATGCATCCCATGCTAGCACTCTACCACTAACCTACATTCCCAGCTCTATATTTATCTTTTGATGGGTATGTTTTAAATAGCTTTAGGGGTACTTACCAAGGTCATCTTCAACTTGTCTGTGACAGCTAAGTTGTACTTGTGAACCTTCTCTTTGATTTCCTCTTTACTGAGGTAACTGTGAGTTTCCTTCTCTTTCTCCACATCCTAGAGGCAAAACAAACAAAACAAGGCACACATGAGTGATTGTAGAAAACACACAGCGAAGCCAGGATGCTTTTACCTTCCACACAAGACCTACCAGATGTCCTTTAACTTGAACCACACACTCATACGCCTTTTACCCTTTTCCAGACCCATCCCCAATTGTGGTCTTCACCCCAGACTAGTCTTCCTAGGGGATACATCAAACACCACTCATCTGTCAGCAGCTAAAAGCAACACTTCATTATATATTATTTTACAAAGGCCTCTTTCCTAAATTTCCCTTCTACAAAAAGATCTTTCCCCTAAGAGTCTCTGCTAGATCCAACATTTTTATTTTAAACTGTATTTTAAAATACATACCCAAACCTTCTCTTTCAGCACATGCTATTAATGGAATGGTCTCCACCTCTTTAAAATGTCTTAGCAAAAAGGACAGCATTTTAAAAAATATTCCAAGTCAGAAATCAGTGGCTCATGCCTCCTACTCAGGAGGCTGAGATCTGAGGATTGTAGTTCAAAGCCAGCCCAAGCAGGAAAGTCTGGGAGATTCTTATCTCTAATAAACTACTCAGAAAAGGCCAGACATAGAGTTGTGGCTCAAGTGGCAGAGCACTAGCCTTGAGTAAAAGATCAAGGACAGCACCCAAGCCCTGTGTTCAAGCCCTAGGATAGGCATCAATAAATACATACCTAAATAAGTAAGTAGTATTCATTACCCACCACAAATCACCTGACCTGTCAAACTGTACACACTACCAGAAAGTATTATATCTTCCAAACAAATCTGCATGCCAAGATACACTCACCAGAATTCTTCGACCCACTGCTACTCTCCCACTCCAGTCTCACTCTGCCTTCACAAACCCCGGGTAGGGACGTGAAAAGATTCACTAATAATGTGTTGTCTTAAAAAGCTTGCCCACTGCATGATATTACCCAGTAGCTTGCTTACACAGCTCACAAATGGTGTCCAAGTGTGTGTTCTGTGACCCTGACAAAGAATGCCAGGCAGCTAACTCGTGTCACATTTAACTCTCCCAACAAAGTAGGCATTGTTACTCCGGTTTCCAGAGGAGATGAAGTTTTAGGAAGCAAATTAACCTGTCAGAAAAATCAAACCAACAAAAAGCCCTGTTTAGTGGAGGGGATGGGACTTGTCTGCAGTCTAACCCCAAAACCTACCACTTGTAGGTACCTCCACTTGCCTGTTCTTACCTCCCCTTGATACTGTCAAGGAGAACAAGATACTGACAGATGTATCAAGCAAGCTCCATTTAAAATCAGGTCTTTTTATATCGTTTCTATGAAACTAATGTACTCTATAGGTCTCCAAGGCTCTTCTGTGGCCAAGCATTTGAAAACCTAAAGAAAGCCTAATCAGATTCAGATTTCTGGAACAACTCAGAAAAATCTTTGAAATCGAGAGAGGAAGAGCAATTAAAATCTGGTGATTTATCCCCCAAAGCAAGTCTTTGAAATCTGCCTCTTCCAGCCAGCCGGAACACACCAACCCCACAGCTGGACACTCTCCAAGCAGGCATTTGTTCCCACCTCCCTCAAGCTCTGAGCTAGTGTTATAAATACACCAGGAATGGCCACTTCAGAGCTAGCAGCAACACCATATAGAGTATAAAATGGCCCCTCAGCCACTCAAGTCTCAAGTTCTTTTTAGACCCTAAGAGGGGTGTGTTGACTATAAACCATCTTGCATTTTGAACTGCAGCATGAGCCTACAGAACTCTCCAGGGCCAGCGTATCTGTAATGCTGGAGAAATACCAGCTCATTCCCTGGCTTCAGGGCAGTCTTCACAGTCCTTTGGGAACATTCTTTTTGCCAATGTAAAACTCTGAGATAATCTTATTTTCGGAGTTGCTGGTTAGAGAAGGACGGAAGGCAAGCTGTGCAGTAAATTAACTCTTTTTCTCCGCTTGTGGAGCTGGGATTGAAGAGGGTCTTGCACATTCTAGGTAAGTGCTGTACTCATGAACTACATCCCCCAGTCCTCAAAATAACTTTTCTAAAGCTCCAGTAACGATTTCCAAGGACACACTTTAATGATGTGCTGCATCTCCACTTGCTCTGCTCTTCTTACTTTACCTATCCAACGACTGGCCACAGCTGTTTAGAAAATGAGAGAGCCTTCACTTCTACATTCATGCTTAAGTATCAAACATCCAGAGACTCCCAGAGTATATACAGTTGTTCCTCGGTACCTGCAAAGCACTGGTTCCAGGATCCCCCATGCATACCCATATCCCTAGATCCTATTGTCCCTTACATAAAATGACAGAGCACTTACACAGAACCCATGCACATTCTCCACATACTGTAAATCATTTCTAGATCACTTATGATTCCTAATACAATGAGAAATGCTATGTAAACAGCTGCTATATTCTATTGTTCAGATGTAAAAAGTCTGCACATCTTTCAGAGAGACAACTGGTTGACTGAACTCAGATGGATCCCACAGATAAAGAGGGAAGACTATATTAAAAAGAAAAAAAGGTACCAGTGGCTCACACCTGTAATCCTAACTACTCAGGAGGCTGAGATCCATGGATAGTGGTCCAAAGCCAGAAAAGTCTGTATTTTTATCTCTAACAAACTACAAAAACTCCCCACAAACAACAACAGCAACAAAACCAGTAAGAAATGCACAGCCAGGAGTGGTAGAGCACACCTTACAATCCCAGCACTCAGGAGGCAAAGGCCTTGGACCATGAGTCCAAGGCAAACCTGGGTTATATAGCAAGACTCTGACTCAAAAAACCAAGGGATAGGGAAGTAGCTCAGTAATACGCACTTGGCTAGCCTGTACAAGGCCCGGGTTCCATCCCCAGCATAGGAGAGAGTGTCACTGACACAGGATGACCAGTTGGCAAGGCAGGAAGGTGCTGAGGAAAGCACATCATTTCATTAGACCCCAAGCTCTGCTCCCCAGTGTCCCATCCACTAACCTGACCCTGGGCCCTAACTTTTCTCAGTCTGTCCCCCAGTCCTTTCCTCACAACTGTCAAAGCTCAGAGCACTTCTAAGGTGCATCTTGACCTGTCAGAGGTTGACTGCAAAAATTTCATGCTGTTCACACTGGGACAAAATGGTTCCATGTAAAGAATCAAGGAAACCACAGACCACAGACACACTATTAAAAATGCACCCAATGGCTAATACACACACACACACACACACACACACACACACACACACACACACACACACACACACACACACACACACACAGAGAGATCTTAGGGGCTTCAAATAAGTGAGAGTTCTAAGAATGAAGAGAAGAGAATGAAAGGGTGATTTAAAGTAGAGAGAAGACTGGTCAACCTTCCCCTCCCCTCCCCCACACCCAGTATTGATTACTTATGATCCCTAATATAATGATATAAACTAATACCTTATTTAGACTCAGGATCCTTGTATTTGGCTTATTTGCTGAGCCATGCCTCCAGCCTGGCTTTTTGTTAGTTATAGTCTCAAGGACTTTTCTGGCCCTGAGCAGCTAGGATTACAGGTATGAGCCACCATACCTGGCTAGCTGCTGAATTGCAGTCTTCACTGGTAGATGTGACTACATACTATCTCCAGGCCATAGCCAGCAGTCCCAGATACTTGAGAAACATCAAAGAGCAAGCCAGTCTGCAAAGAGTAATTTCCCCTGGATCACCCACGTTTTAATAACCAAGACACTCTACAATTATCTTTCCTTCTCTGAGATTAAAAAGCAAGCAGCCGGTGCTGGTGGCTCATGCCTGTAATCCTAGCTATTCAGGAGGCTGAGATCTGAGAACTGCAGTTCAAAGCCAGCCCGGGCAGGAAAGTCCGTGAGACTCTTTTTTTTTTTTTTTTTTTTTTTTGGGGGGGGGGGGGGGGTCCAGTCATGGGGCCTGAACTCTGGGCCTGGGCGCTGTCCCTCAGCTCTTCAGCTCAAGGCTAACACTCTACCACTTGAGCCACAGCGCCACTTTCGGCTTTTTTCTTTTTGCTTATGTGATGCTGAGGAATCGAACCCAGGGCCTCAGGCATGCAAGGCAAGCGCTCTACCACTGAGCCACCTTCCCAACCCCTCCGTGAGACTCTTATCTTCAATTAGCCACCAGAAATCCAGAAGTGGAGCTGTGGCTCAAGTGGTAGAGCACTTGCCTTGAGGGGAAGAGCTGAGGGGCAGTGCCCAGGCCCAGAGTTCAAACCCTACAACCGACCAAAAAAAAGGGAAGGAAACTGCAGGAAGCAGCAACAGAAATGAGTTGAATCCAGATCTCTAAGAGATTAAGCTGGAAGTGGTGCTGTGGCTCAAGTGGTAGAGTGCTAGCCTTGAGCTGAAGAGCTGAGGGACAGCGCCCAGGCCCAGAGTTCAGGCCCCACGACCGGACCACCCCCCAAAAAAAAAAATAAAATAAAAAAGATCAACTTGGAAAAAGCTAGGTGCTGGTGGCTCATACCTGTAATATTAGCTCTTCAGGAGGCTGAGATCTAAGAATGATGGTTCAAAGCCAGCCAAGGCAGAAAAGTCTATGAGACTCTTATCCAATTAACTACAGAAAAGGCTGAAGTGGCACTGTGGCTCAAGCAGTAGAGTGCTAGCCTTGAGCAAAAAGAGCTCAGGGACAGCACCTGGGCCCAGAGTTCAACTCCAGGACTGGGAAGAGGAAAGGAGAGAAAGAAAGAAAGAAAGAAAGAAAGAAAGAAAGAAAGAAAGAAAGAAAGAAAGAAAGAAAGAAAGAAAGAAAGAAAGAAAGAAAGAAAGAAAGAAAGAAAGAAAGAAAGAAAGAAAGGAAGGAAGGAAGGAAGGAAGGAAGGAAGGAAGAAAGAAAGAAAGGAAAGAAAGAAAGAAAGAAAGAAAGAAAGAAAGAAAGAAAGAAAGAAAGAAAGAAAGAAAGAAAGAAAGAAAGAAAGAAAGAAAGAAGAAAGGAAGAAAGAAAGGAAGAAAGAAGAAAGAAGAGAAAGAAAGAAAGAAAGAAAGAAAGAAAGAAAGAAAGAAAGAAAGAAA